TGCATCCATTTTAGTTTATTTATGTACTAGATCGTAGCTGCTGGCTTGGAGCACTTTGGTCTCTTACGAGAGTACACAGAGGAGGAAGAGAAACCTTTCTTTTGCACCGCTGATGCTACTGATTAGTTGAGGCATTGCAAAGCCTTGTGCACAAACCCAGTGTTTGTGGTTGTCATGTATGGCATGTGTTCCCCTTTAGTGGGAAGGGGAAGCAGTGCCTTAGTTTTTCAGTTGTGTTCTGAACAGTCTCACCTTGGCCTTGTATAGACTCACCCTTCAGTTTTCTTTTTTTCATCCATCTTTCTTCCTGCTTTGACGACTCCCATTGGTGAGGGGGTAGCAAAACACTGGAAACCAACTGCTGTGTTAATACCTGACTGAGAGCAGATACTTTATCACAGAATCATGTAATCATAGAAAGGCTCAGGTTGGAAGAGACCTCAAGGATCATCCAGTTGCAACCCCCTGCCGTGGCCAGGGCTACCAACCAGGCGATAGATCGGTTTGCACAGCCTCCATCCCGACTAGCCTTGAACAAATGTTTCTGCTTGCCCCCTTGTTGAAAGGAAAAGAAGATAATTAAGACGGAGCCTGGTTCTCCCTTTGCCTGACCTTACTGGAAAGGTAACTGCACTGATGGCTTGCTCCAGCTGGCTGTGCTGGCAGTGAGTCAGTGGCACCGTGTGGTCAATTGCCTCAAAGTTGCAAAGGAAATGCATAGCATGAGGTATTGCTGCTTTGCATTAGCACCGTGAGCAGTAGCTCGTAACGAAGGTGGTGAAAGAATATTGTATTCCATCCTTGGACTGTGGATGGAAGTAGATATGGGCCTGCCTGTGTTCAAACCACCTTGTACTGTGACCCTGCAAGAAACTTCCTGCTAACATCCTTGTAGCTTGCAGTCCCTGATAACATCATGGCATCCTTCACGTGAGGGAAATGCTGAGCCCTACCTACCTTCTGCTACATTCATGCTTCTCTTCACTTTCCCTGCTGCCCGGCTTTGTAGGATAATCTTTTCTTCTTATCCTTAGGCATAGCACAGCCCTGCTGTTCTTGAGCTCATTACGTTTCTGTTGCAAACAAATAGTAGTTCTTCCTTCTGTTGCTGTTTGCGGATCAAAAGCAGTTTGAGATTTTAGTGTTTTGAGGTACTGTGATCCTGATGATGTATGATGCTCTGGGAGTAGGGGAATGAGAGGTAGACTTAGCAGTGAAGAAGTGCTAGTGCCCCAGAGGCTGGGTATCGTGCAGACAGTGCCCTGTTGTATGGCCCTTTGCCAGTGTCCTCCAGAGGAGAACATTAGGACTGGTGAATTGCCAGCTCTTAGCTGTGCATATCTTTCTCCGGCTCCTTGAAATCAGGATATGATTTCAAGATGGTATAAATCAACCGGTTACTTGATATAATGGCAAAGTAAAACTGTAACAGGTGCCTGGGGATAACTCATATGCGTACCACTTCTAGCTCTCCTCCTCTGAAAGCCATTCCCTTGCATGGCAGAGACATGCATCTGCATACAAGGAAATACCAAGGTTGTCCCTTTCACAGAGGAACTTTCGGCTCCTATTGCTGAGACAGAATGCTCCTGAAGCTGTTTATAACTGCATGTTCCCTAAGCTTTGAAAAGAGCTAGCTGTCCGTGCCCTTCCTGGCTTTTTCTTCTGCTTGCACATTAAAGCTTTTGTTTTTCATGCTGTTGTTTTTAACCTGACAGTAACTTGATCTCTCTTCACTTTTTTTTCCCCCTCCTCATTCAAAATTGTCATAAGGGAAATCTCTCCTCTTGCTCTTTTCTGTGTTCGAGTAACTGATGGCTGCTTTGTGCCAGAGCAGCTGGGGTTCCTTATGACAAGCTGAGATGTCTCCCTGTCCAGCACCTCCTTCCTCATTTCAGCTACACATAAATGTTCTGGGTGGGGAAGGTGGTTAATAACGCTTTCCTCCCCTGCTGGCCTTTGTCTCCAATTAGCCACTGCTCAAAGCACATCTTTTCCTGCAGTGCAGATCAGATGGTATGGGAAGGGATACGTGACAGACAGCTTTTGGCGTCTCAGCCCACCCAGGGGTGGATGAGCTCTCCACTCCCTGGCAGAGGAATCCCTGGCATGTGAGAACGGAGGTGGTTCCCAGGGAAGAAGTTTTTGAAGAGGACACAGCTTTATTCTTTGCTTCCCTCCTTTTACGAAGGGATAAGGAGTGGGTTCATGTTCCCACTCCTTCACAAAGGCAACTGAGCAGTGAAAACTGCCTCCTGGGAACTGTCGGCAGCGGAACAGCAGAGGGTACTGCAGGGCCAGCTTGCTTTGGCAGAGCTGCAGGGCAGGCTGCGGTAACGGGGAGGCAGTGCAGCCATGCACGGGCTGAGGAGCTGCAGAGCTTGTGCTGAGCCTGACGGACAGTGATGTATGCAAATGTCAAGTGAGGAAAAAAAGCTCTGCTTCTTCAAACCGTGTGTCCTGCTAGGTTGACATGGCACACCAGCGCCTGGAAAGTGAAGCAGTTTGTTAAATGTCAGGAGCAACAACTTCTGTTAGGGAGTTTCTCATGGCATGTGGAGCATTGAGGCCATCTGGGAAGAAGATGAAGACCTGCTGATCGTGACTCCTCCAGCACTTGTCCTGTGTGCTGGGCCAGCTCAGAGGATGCTGGCATTTGTGTCCTGTAGGAACTGGAGCCTTACTGGATCAAGGCAGTCCTTCATCTCACCTGAGCCTTGGTGAGCTGATATCCAGAGGTAACACCTTGCAGAAGTACAGGACGCTCAACTGGAGAGAGCTACACTAATGTACCAGCAAGGGATGTCTTCCAGCAGCCTCTGCTAGCTATCTTTCCAGATTCCTTGTATTCTTCTCTTCCCCGTATGTCAGGATGGAGCAAAACTGGTGGTGTAGAAGGAAGAGGTGCCAGATACTGCTTCTTGAGTAAGTGGTCCTACTGCTCCTAAAAGACAATAACAAAGACTAAGATAAGTAAATTTCCTGGGCACAATGAGATGCCTTTGGGTTTCTGTAGCCTCTTGCTTTAGCCCCAGTAAGAACACCTGAGGAAGAACAAGATGGTCCTTTACAGCTTCAGAGAAGGGAGCAGCACCAGGCCCTCCATCAGTGGATCACCACAGAGGTAGCTTTTCGTGAGCCCATGGCCGTGGTGGGTCCCTCCACTGTGTGCTGTGTCGAAATATATCAAAAGCAAACCCTATAACTCTTCCATTGGCTTCAGGCTTACAGTCTCTGTTTTTACGGTGAAATAACCCCACCAATAATGAAGTTGCCACAACCAGAATGCAGGGGATGGCGTTGGTGGATTTCCTAAAAATGTCACTAAAAAGGCAACAGCAAAGCTTCTAGGAGTGCTTGCTGCTGAACTGTAAGATATGAACGTGGACAACCCTTTTATCAAAGTCCACGTTGGAGCCCTCGGTAGGTGGCCAGATATGATTTCCTTTGAGTGGTTGCCATCTGCCTAAATTTATGGCTTTTCCCTTCAGCGTTAAGTTCTCCCCAGGTTAATCAGTAAACGTGCCCTGTTGTATTTCACTCATTCCCCCTGGGTGGGCTGGACACTTCTCCACTCTGCTCCTATCCAGGATGCATGTGGGCCATGGAAAGTGCCCGGCTGGCAAAGGGGAGCACCCTGGCACAGGGCCGAGGGCTTGGGCTGCCTGTGAGTGCTGCGTGGGGTTTATAAGCAATGGCATGGGATGTGGCACACCTGTCGTGGGGACCTTTGGCCGAGGGAGGAGACACTGAGACACATGTGCAGGCGTTATAACATGGTGGGGAGCTGCCATTGAGGAAAGCAGTGGAACATGTCGGGAGCGTACTGGTGGGTTTCCTGGGCGTGGAGGGTTTTATGCTTTTGGGGGAGAACCTCCACCTTGCTGAGGGTGTTCAGGTCACCTTGTTCCCTTGCCTGTTTGCTTCAACCTTCCCTAAGCAGCAGCATGCAGCTGCCTTTCCTTGTTCTGCCTGGTGAAGTGTTGGGTGAGGTTGTTTTTTTTCCTTCCTTTTTTTTTTTTTCCCCCTTCTTCCTTTTTCTGGATTGTAGTCTTCAATCACTTTTCTTCCTGACAGCAGCTCTGCTTTCCCAGCACGGACTGGCAGAGGGGAAGTGCTATAGAGAGAGAATGAAGACTGTTTTTTTTTTAATTGTTCTGAAGAAAGGGTTGAGCACCGCTGGCTCTTTGCTGGTCTGATATGGATCCATTGTGACAGCACTATATTGCCAGCAGAGACAGCTAGGCAGTTTTTATAGCCACCTTTATACAGATGCAAAAAAAACCCCTCAGCATCTAGTCCATGGAAGATGAAAAGCAAAGGGAGACAGCTGGAAACATAGTGGGCACAGAGGGATGGGAGGTGAATGAAAGGGAAAATCTTAACACTTTTTCTCCATTTTCCATACAAACTTGGCTAGAATTTCTTAGGAACAAGGGGTTTTTAAGGTGTGTTGTGGGTAAACACTGGAAAGATCTGAGAAGCATAGGTGTTTTCCTGGTCCTGGCAGCCTAGCTATGAGCTCAATCCCTTAAAACTGCTTTTCTTATGCTGGCTGGGTTTCAGCTGCATACCCTGTACTCCCTCTCATCCCTCTTGCTAACCTGCTGTCTCTTCATCTTCCCTGACTCAAGGTCTGCGTTTATTTGTTCCCATCAGTGAGTGGGGACAAATGTGCTAAGTGCAGTGCCTCACTGGACTCCTCTTGTTGCAGATTTCTCATCTTTCTACCCCATCGCCGGCACCTTTCCTCTCTCTGTGAGACCATAAGGCTATATCTGCTCTAGAGGAGGTTTAGCTTGGTACAACCAATCCAAAGCATAAGGCCCACTAAAAATGTTAGGGTGTGGGGGATTTGGTTTGGGTTCAATTCTTGATAGATGCATGCTGAGTTTGGACCGGCTTTGTAGCATCCCCAGCCTATTTTCCAACCACTAGCAAGCTTTTTTGCACCCTGGTAATTCCCGAATGTGACTTTCCTTTTCATGGCTTTTCCACAGGATGAAGATGAGACGCCATAAGCTCTTTCTGACTCTCTGCATGGCTGGTCTCTGCCTCATCTCCTTCTTGCACTTCCTGAAGGCCCTTTCCTATGTCACCTTCCCCCGGGACCTGGCTTCACTTAGCCCCAACCTCGTCTCCAGCTTCTTCTGGAACAATGCCCCCGTCACGCCACAGGTTAGCCCTGAACCGGGGGGCGCGGAGTTCCTCCGCACACCCCTGTACTCCCACTCTCCCTTACTCCAGCCCCTGCCACCCAGCAGAGCCAGCGAAGAGCTGCACAAAGTCGAGTTTGTGCTGCCGGAAGACACGACGGAATATTTTGTCCGAACCAAAGCCGGTGGTGTCTGCTTTAAACCGGGTACCAAGGTGTTGGAGAAGCCACCAGTGGGAGGGCGGCCGGAGGAGCGCGCAGATGGTGCAGCTTCAGGGCGTCCTGCTCGCAAACCGCTGAGCGCAGGTGGGACCAAGCGGCGCAAGTGGGTGGAGTGTGTGTGCTTGCCGGGCTGGCACGGCCCCAGCTGTGGCGTTCCTACCGTGGTCCAGTACTCCAACCTGCCCACCAAGGACCGCCTGGTGCCACGGGAGATCCCCCGGCGAGTCATCAACGCTATCAACATCAACCATGAGTTTGACCTGCTGGATGTCCGCTTCCACGAGCTGGGAGATGTGGTGGATGTCTTTGTGGTGTGTGAATCGAACTTCACGGCCTACGGAGAGCCACGGCCCCTCAAGTTCCGCGAGATGCTCCTCAACGGCTCCTATGAGTACATCCGCCACAAAGTGCTCTATGTCTTCCTGGACCACTTCCCTGCTGGTGGGCGCCAGGATGGCTGGATCGCTGACGATTACCTGCGCACCTTCCTCACCCGAGATGGCGTCTCTCGCCTCCGCAACCTGCGCCCGGATGATGTCTTCATCATCGATGATGCTGATGAGATCCCAGCTCGTGACGGCGTGCTCTTCCTCAAGCTCTACGACGGCTGGACGGAACCCTTCGCCTTTCACATGCGCAAGTCTCTCTACGGCTTCTTCTGGAAGCAACCGGGCACCTTGGAGGTGGTTTCAGGCTGCACTATGGGGATGCTCCAGGCTGTCTATGCTACTGATGGGATCCGTCTGCGGCGCCGTGAATACTACACCATGCCTGGTTTCCGGCAGTATGAGAACAGCACGGGACACATCCTGGTGCAGTGGTCGCTGGGCAGCCCCCTCCACTTTGCTGGCTGGCACTGCTCCTGGTGTTTCACCCCAGAGGGGATCTACTTCAAACTGGTATCGGCCCAGAATGGGGACTTCCCCCGTTGGGGTGACTACGAGGATAAACGAGACCTCAATTATATCCGGGAGCTGATCCGGACTGGTGGCTGGTTTGATGGTACGACGCAGGAATATCCCCCTGCTGACCCTAAGGAGCACATGTATGCTCCCAAGTATCTGCTCAAGAACTACCAGCAGTTCCATTACTTGCTGGAGAACCCATACCGAAAAGCGGAGGGTGCTGGTTGAGATCGCTGGACTGCTGTGGGAAATCAGAACTTCACGATAAAGGGAAAGAGTTGGGTGTTTGTCTGTTCCTTTCTTTTTTGTTTTCTTTGATTCCAGATGGGGTGTGCCATTTCTCCATGGTCTCTGTCCTACCTCCCTTCCCTTCTTCCCATGGTGATGCCTGGGGACAAATTCCTCAGACAAATGAAGGGAGACCTGGGCAGGAGGAGGGGAGAGGTGTGGGCAGTAGCATAAAGACCTCCCTGCGTCTTCTGGACCTTTCTGCTGGCTGGAGAGACTTGCTGCATCCAGCTGGTGGATTTTCCTTCTTGTGGGGCTGGGAGGGCTCCCTGAGGAAAGAGGGCAGCTGTTCCCATCCACCTTCATCTGTTGTGGATTGGAGCAAGCACAGATGCGAGCCTGAGCTGTTCATTGAGCGTTTGAGTCAGCAGGCACAAAGCGATGCGAGGGGTCACGTGTGCAGATGTGTGTCACAGGCATTTTTTGGATGAGTGAATGTGCAAAAGCATCTCAGTATGCATTTTTTTTTATACCTCTATGTTCAAAGTATTTTGGGGAAGGCAAATCCTTTGCTTCCAAGGTGTTCTCCCCTACACACTGCCTCCTCCCACAAATTTAATATATCTGTCCGAGGCTGTCTCTCAGCCTGATGCTCTACCAGACCTGAAGCAGGCAGGTGGGAAGCAGAGAGGAAAGCCAATTTTTTTTTTTTTTTTTTAAATTTTTTTTTCTGTTTACTCCCTTTTCACCCTGCCCCCAAAATGCTGCACTGGCTTGCTCCACAGGAGCTGAAGCATCTTCCCTGCAGCATGTGCTTTGTTTGGGTCTGGGATAAGCTGCAGGGGACTAAATCAGATGGTGGGAGTATATGTTTACAAGTGCATGGTTTCCTATGTGCATGAGTGCTAACATGCATGGTTTTGGTATGCACGTGGCTGTTTGTCACTGGTGTTGGGAGGGGAGGGGTCAAAGTTGGTCTTGGGTGGTGTGCGTATTTTCAGGAAATGGTGGCATCCATAAGCTGTGATCTGTCTTGTCATGGATGGCATTTCGGGGAGAGCATCAGCTCTTCATAGCAGGGTGTGCCATGTGGAGCTCTTACATGCCTCTCTGGATGCCTTTGCACCCTTGTGGGCTGTGCCTGCTGCAAGGATTCTGTTTACATGTGCTGGCTATTTTCAATTGCCATGGGGGAAATGAGAGGAGAAGGGCAAAGTTCTGAGTCACCAATGGGTGTTGTGGGGAAATACAAAGCATGTTGAGGCACAGGACCCACTGCGAGCTTGTGGTGAATGGAGCTGTGGGTAGAATCCCTCTGGGGCCAGAAGACTTTTCTGGGACAATCATGCAATCCACAGCCTGGACTGTGCAGATTAGGCCATGCAGAATAGAGGAGATGTAGGATGACATTCCTTGCAGCTGGTGGGCCAGTGTCCACACAGAGCTGGCCACTGATGGGTAGCCAAGATTAGCCTGTTGCTGTAGTAGACTGGTTCAGCTCATTGAGGAAGCAGATTGGCATCTCCACCCTCACCACCCTTCCTTAGCAGATGGCTTGACAGGGTGCCCAGAGCCCACGCTGTGGTGGGAAGAGGGAGAAAAACATGAATGTGCTCTGTTGGCCTTACAGTGGAAATATTGGCTCGTCTTCCGAACAAATAAGTGAGGATCATGTGGAGGAGGAGAATGTTGTCATAATGAAGAGTGACCGTGCCATCAGGCCAGCTGGAACAAGAGGGTTTCCACTGACCTCAACTCACTCCATCAGGGCTTCATATTCCCGTGTCATCCATCCCATTCTCTCCATTGCGCTCCATTCCTATCTCTGTCTCTCTCTCTCTCTTCTATTTGCTTCTTTAGAGATGTGAAAAGCATCAGGAAAGATAATTTGGTTCCCTAAGAAGAATTAAATTTGAACAGAAAGATGAATGTTGTTTTTCTGATCAAACTGAGTTGGACTTCATCTTAGTTCCGTCCCCCCATCTCACGTGCCACAATGCCTGCTTGGAAGAACTGAGGGATCCCCTCTTTTCTTGTTGTTTTGTTTTTGTGTTCTTTTTAATATATACGTGTATGTTGCTGTTTTCCTTTGTGATGTGTTTCCCAAGAAGAGGAAAGTCCCTTTGAGAACTGAGCAGGAGAAGGCTTGGTGGGTGGAATGCTCTCCCCTCAAAGAGAAGCTGTGGCTTTGCCGAGCTCAGTCTTGTTGATGCAGGAGGGAATTTTGCCATGGTCACAGAGACATGGTCACATGGACACAGAGGCAGGGGGAGACTGTAGAGAAATCAGGGCTTGGATGAGAAAGGAGCAGTCACTTTTAGCAAGTTAGAGCAATAGCTCTGAGACTGCTGCATGAGAGCTTTCCCCAGGGATAACCAGAGGAGAGCCCAGTGTATTGACACAAGGGATTTGGTAACAGTAAATTGAAAAGTAAAAAGGGAAGAAGCTATTCCTCATTTTCAATCTAGGATCTACATTCAGGCATTGCCTTGGTGACAACACAAGTCTCAGGTCAGGCGTTCCTGAAGACGAGAGAGGTCAGTCATTGCATACGTGCTTTGGGAGCAGCAGAGCACCACAGAAAACAGGCAGAAGCACACGCATGCTGAGGCTGCACCACCCGATCTGCAGTGGCAGCAGCCTCTCCCGTCCTACCAGCCCTTCCCACACATGGGCTTCCGTGGGGATTTTTAGTGCATTGCAAGTTGTGTTTTCATCACTGGGGTATGGTTTTTCATCTCAGCAGATTCAGATAAGCCTTAACTGCAATTATCAGCATCTCCTATTCCCAAAGTTCAGCCTGTTCCCTTCCCTCCCCTCTCTTTCACTATTTGCTCCATTGTTCCCCTCTTCTCCCTTCTGAGAAGGTCCCACTGGAACAGGCGAGAGCAGCACTGGGGCTCTTCTGCACGACTCTGGCCCTGTCAACCTCCTGGATGTCTCCATTTCCTTATTCTTAGGAAATCAAATTTAAAACAGGCTTCTGTTGTGGATGGAGGAAGGGACTTCACAGCTGAAATGCATTTTTTCTTTTTCTTTCTCAAGAATCATCCAGTGTTTTGATTTAAGGCCAAACCAGTTAATGTTCCTGTTGTTTCTGTAAGCCCTGTGTTTATTATCCTTAGGGAGTTGGAGTGCTTGTCATTAAAAGTCTTCCATCGCCTCCCTTGAGGGATGGGGATAAGCACAATGACTTCTGCACAGCGATTTCCCAAGGTGGTGGCTTGCCCTCAGCCATCCCTGTCTGAGCCAGACAATGAAGTTTGGAAAGGGATGAACTGAAAACCAAATCCCATTCTGCCCCAGGACTGGTTGTTGCAGCGAAGCCATGAGCCCACTGTCTTTCTGGGACCAACGTTGTCTGTGGTTCACCAACCTTTCCCCACAGATGTGTGCTTTTTCTTCCCCAGAACCTTTTCACCTTCAGATTAATTGGTGTTATCTGTAATTGGTGCATCCCTATACTTTGCCCTTCTTTCTGCCCAACTCTGCTCGACTTCCTTTGTGCCCATGCATGGCTTTGAAGTGGAAAGCTTCTCTTCCTCCTTCTTCCCAGGTGAAGGAGAGGATGTGGGCTAATGCCTCTGTCCCTCCAGAGGAACAAAGGCAGTGAGGAGGTGCAGTATACCCAGCAAGGGATTGGATGGGGTTGTGTCTGCATGAAGGACAATACTCAACAGTCTGCTCTCACTGTTGCTTTCTCTGATCCCTGTGTCTTGCTGAGGTGTTTTCTGTTGTGCAGCCTGTTCTTTGTGCCTCTGTGCTGGATAAAGGAAGGGGACCTCGTGGCCTCCAGGTAACTTATGAGTCAGGGTGGGGGCAGGGTCAGTGCAGAACGGGTATTTGTTCCCCTGGTGCCTCTTGGTGTGTCCTTGTGGGGTGGCAGTGTCTCTTCTTGTCCCGCTGCTCCTGCCAGCACTCCGTGGCTGCTATGCCTGTGCACTGTGAAGACGTGTCGGGAGTCACTCCTGGTCCTGTTAGCAAACACTGGTGGTGAAGAGGGAAGGGTTGGGGCTCATGCTGGCCTCACTGACCTCAAGCCTTGGTGAGAAGGGAGAGAAGTACGGTAGAATGGATCCCAAATCCCTCTATTGCTGCGTTTCCCCTATCCACCAAAAAATCTCCTTCTGATTTCTGAGACAATGGATGAATCTGCTCTTACTGAAAAAGAGGGGGAGCTGGAGATGTCAGGAGTGGCTCGAATCCAGCACCAAGGAGAGCTGTTTCTGATGCTATATACCAACATCTAAAGCATTGGGGACTACAGATAATGGCTTAAAAAGGGATCTGAAATGCTCTGAAACTAAGAATCAAAGCCACTGTTGGTTTTTTTCTTTCCTGTGAGGATGGTGATGCAGAATCGTCCTGGAGGAGGCCCAGCAGCACTGCTGATGCTGGGTTCCACCTGGACCTGCTGGTGGCATCAGGACACTGTACTGGCAAAAGAATGCGTGGACTTGCCAAAAACAATTTAAAAAAAAAAGAAAAAAAAAAAAAAAAAGAATCTGCAAAGCTCCTTTCCACTCTGTAATTTATAAACAGCAAGTAATAATGAACTTTTTGTAAGGATAAATCAAATGTACATTCTGAAATCATTTTCTCTGTAAATGGTTGGATTTCATTTCACCCTTAAAGGGATGCTTAAAAGGAGGAAATAATAAAAATAATAATAATTAAAAAAAAATTACAAAGTCTGAAAGGAAACCAAGGCATGTGTGTGGTAGCTTTTATTTCTGAGCACGGGAGGTTGCTGCTTTCTACCTCAGTGGGACTGAGGTTCGTAGGAGGGAGGTTGAGGGGCAGCCCCAGTGCTTTGAGGGATGACTCCTGTGCCCAAAGCAACCCTATTCTGTGTGTCAGGTGAGTACAAGCACATGTGGGGATGTGACGGGGAGCACAGCATCACCACTCACAAAATGGTCACATGCCACCATGCCCTGTCCCTTCCTGTCCTCACTTTCAAACGAAGCCATGGAAAGCCCCAGCTGAAACCTTTCCACTGCAGAAACATCTCTCATGGCTGATTTTCTGTGCAGTGTGTGAGAGAGCATGATCTCCTTGGCTTATTTTTAAAGCCATCTAAGGTAATTCTGGCTGTTCCCATTACTCCCTATCAAAGCCTGGTACTGCCCTGAATCCTCCTGAGCATCTGGTCCCAGCATTGGCTTTGCCAAGGGACCTTCAGGAGCTCCTGTGGAATCTGCAACTATTTCATTTTTTAGTGTTTTTAAGTGCCTTGAGCTTTTAGTTCCTGGTTTCAATGAGAGACAACAAAAGTAGACATTATTGGCTAGTTTCCTTATGATTCTAGATTGAATCACAGAATCACTGAGGTTGGAAAAGACCTCTAAGATCACAAAGTCCAACCATCAGCCCATTCCCACCATGCCTACCAACTCTGTCCAGAACTTCTGTTCCAGAGCCACACGGTTCTGGAACATTTCCAGGGATGGTGACTCCACCACCTCCCTATCAGCCTGTGCCACTGCAGCACCGCTCTTTTGGATAAGCTGTTTTTCCTAACACCCAACCTGAGTCTCTCCTGGTGCACTCTGGGGCCATTCCCTCTCATCCTATCACTGTTACATGGGAGAAGAGGCCAACTCCACTTCAGTACAGCTTCCTTTCAGGTTGTTGTAGGGATCGAGATCCATTTTCTCTTCTTCCTTTCTTCTACAGCCTTCTGAGGTTTTTATTTTCCCCCTTGCGAGAGGCTATCCATCAAACTGGAATTTCACCATCCATCACTGATGCCTTACTGCTGCTTCTATCTTTCTTTCTGGAGCAAAGAGCCTGGAATGAACACACACTCAAAATTAACAGATAACATTTTATATGAAGAATTTTTAGCATTCCTACTGGTTGCTGTCTTTTTGCACCCCAATAGGGAGCATTCTAAAAATAGGTGGTCACCAAAAAGTCTGTGAACTTGCAGGTTTTCAAAAAGGGAAGACAAGTCTGAGTGCTTGGGCCCACGGCAACTTAGCTAGACAGTTGAAGAAATGAGAGTTGACTCAGTCAAAGATTCTCACATGGATTCATCTTGCCTCTAGTACAAAATCTTTTCCTGACATTTATATTAAGGAGCAATGTAAATGGTATTTCATGATGTCTTACCACATTTTAAGTCAAGACATTGACAAACACCAAGACCTCTCCCCCGAGAAAGCACCAGTTTCTGCTGTGTGAGCTAGAGGAGGGATTAACTCTTCCATGAACTGGTCCGTGGTGGGGACCCTCGTTTGCAGAGCTGATGGATTGAGCACGGGGACACATGGCTGTGCCCTCTTTCAGAGTCAGCCCCTGCATCCCTCAAAATGCATTGGAATGGATTGTGGTACACACAGCCTGCATCTTGGATATGGATAGGCAGCTTTAAACATTGCATTGAACCATGAACGTTCAGGGCATGTGGCACAGAATCACTGAATGGCTCAGGTTGAAGGGGACCTTAAAGCTCAGTCAGTTCCAACTCCTGCCCTGGGCAGAGCTGCCACCTACCAGGTCAGGCTGCCCAGGCTTTGATGATGTGGGGGATAGACACGCTGCTTCCAAACACCGGAGTGCTTAGAAACAAAATCACTTTACTATAAACTTACAGCATCACTTAAAGAGCTGGAAAGGGGGATACTAAGTCTGGCTTGCTGGCTGTTTGTTTTTGTTGCTCAGATACATTTGTTCCCAGCACAAGGGCAAAGCTTAATAAGCTGTTTCACATGGACAGTAAATTTTTAATTATTAGCTTGCTTCTTTTTCCTAAGCCTAGTGGCTCAGCTGGGGCAGCAGCTGGGAACAGCCACCCCAGCCATGTCGAGCAGCTCCGTGCTCAGCTGCAGGTGCCAGTGCCCTGACAGGGAGGATTTGGCCATAGTGATGGCAGAAGGGAGCTGCGTGCTTGCTTCCAGCGCTGGTACGTGTTTGTGTGGCTCACCAGCACGCTGCAGCAAATCTCATGGGAGCCAGCTTTGCTCTATCACTGCGAAATGACATCCAAGGAGCACAGCAGAGCAAAGCTGTCCCATCTGGGGAAAGGGCTCCGGGTCACTGAAGCAAGGCACTGACCCGAGGGATGGCAGTGCTGGGGAGAGGAGCTGGCTGGGGGCTGGGCTGCCACGAGTGGTGCCTTTGTGGCAGGCAGAAGCACGTCAGCAAAGGGTAAGGATCAGCCCCTTCCAGCCTCTGTTTGGGCCATTACTGTAAGCATCTCTGAGAACTCCAAACATAGACACTTTCTTGGAATTAAGGAAAATTTGGCAATCTTGACGTTTCAAAAGTCCCTGGGTGTGCTTTTCTTTCATTCTTTCTTTCTTTCCTTTCTAGCAAAGAGAGATAACATAGTCCCCACCATTGTTTGAAATACATTACGTCTATGTAAAGCCACAAATCTTTCAAGGCCATCTCTCTCCTCATTCTGCCAAATGAAATAAAAAATTTAAAAAATCCCACATTGTTTCACTTCTGCTTATCTTTCCTGTGCCTTACGGCTCAGACCATGACTCCCTTGGCTGAAATCCATCCCAGTAATGATTTAATTTGGGAGCCACACTTCACCTTTCTAAAAATAAGGAAAACTGAGAAGAAGAGTGGCAAAGCTGTGCCGAATAAAGATATGAAATGACTTCTACAGGAGCTCGAATTAAAGAAACCGTGTTGCTCAGAAAATGCATAAAATCAGACCTTTAAGCCTGTCTCTATGCAGCAAGCTCTTTCCTGGCATTTTAGCCCTATTCTACAGTCTGGACCTTTTCCAAAGAGAGAGCAACAAATCATCAGTCATATCTTTTTTTTTTTCCCCCAGACACTTACTAAGAACCAGGCACACATGCAAAAATAAAGGAATGTTGAAAACATCCACCCACTTCTGTTTGATTGTCGGTGTTTTTAAAGGATTTGGCACATGTTGTTGCCCAGGACTGGACGTCAAACTGCTGCAAAGCCCAAACCAGACAGATGTCCCTAAATGGGACAGAAATTAATCTAACTGAGGATACATGATTTAATGGGACAAAATGTGAATTTGGTGCAGTGGCAGCTCGGTGCATGCAGATCCTGGGTTCCAGGGCTTGAGGCTGAAAGCTCTACTTTGGAAGCAGCGGGGCTGTGAGCTCTTCCTATCTTACCCCTGGCAAAAAGAGACCCTCAGAATTCCTCCCCGGCTGCTCTCTGAAGCTGTGACTGAAGGTTGGGTCTGGGCTGTGCGTCAGGAATGTACCTTGAAAGGCAGCGATCTCCCCTCCCTCAGCACCTGTGTTCCTTCTCAGCTGTGTTTGTTCAACATCAAAGCTGATGGATTCAGTGGAAAGGAGCCATCAGCACCAGCCTTGGTTGTTCTCCATTGCTGGCACATCATAGATGGAAAGCAAGAGCAAGATATCATTATTTCTGCTATGTTATCAACAGCAAACCAGTTTTGGTTTTTTTTTTCTTCTTTTTTTTTTTTTTCCTTTATTTTTCTTTTTTTCTTTCCTTCCACCAAATTCCAGTCTGCCAGATCGTGGAAAGTCACTAAAATGCAGAAGGGCAAAGCAGCCACTTAGGGCACAAATGCCACTATTCTTTGCAATTGCTCAAGAACTAGGAGCACAAAAGAGAAAGCTGTTGAACTGGTCCAAAAGGGCTCTTTATGATAAGACATGACAGATATTACGCCCATGCTCAGATGGTGCTGACAGGTCACTACCTATCTTCCCTGCTCCTAAACAGCAGCAACAGAGCCGTGGTTCCAGAGTCTCCCAGGAGAAACAGGGAAGGGGTACACCTGGCCTTATGCCCAGGTAACAGCCTGGGTTGTTGTGCCTTGTAACCCATGCTGCCTTTGATATTTCACAAGCTCAATTCGTCATTTGGGGAAACAAAAGCCATTATTGTTCTCTGAGCGTACAGTGAAGGTGTACTCTCTACTCTGCCTGCAGTATAAGGCTTTTTTGCAGGGATGCAGGCTGGAGACATGGGGCCCTCAGCCCACTGTGGAGTACCCCACCTTCCCAGAGGGCCCATGGGGAGGCGAAAGGCAGAAAGGGCATCCTGGACAGGCACTGAGCAGCACTGCAGGCAGCGGGACAAGGGGTCAGCATCCTGCCAGAGCAGCACAAGTCCATCCTACGCCAGGGCTGCAGGGGTACTGCTTGTCATGGGGTCAACAGAGGAGTAGGCTGGGCTGGGAAGCACTGAGGGGGCTGTTGCTTCACTGTCTGCAGGCAGAATTCAAGTTCATAACCCCAGCATGCTGTCAGCAGTCCAGCAGTGGGAAAGCAATGGATGCACGTCACTCTGCCTTTACACCTGCCCACTCTACAAGACCAAAGAGGCACACTGAATGTGACGCAGACATCTGGAGCACACGGCAGTGAAGTGGTGGCAGGCACAGCGAGCCCTGGGGTGCTGGGGCAGTTGGGGGCAGGCGGAGCAGCACGGCTGGAGGAGTTCACAACGCACGCACGCAGCTGCTGGCGAAGGGCCCAGGAGCTGGCAAGCAGCCCAGGGAGAAAAAAACAGAACAAAACACTAAAACAGGCACAACCAAAGGGGGCCAGGATGGGGAGGGGTGCTTGTGGAAGCCCATGGTCCTTGGCTTCCACAGCAAGAAGGGACAGAAAGTCCCCGAAAGTCCCTAAAAGCAACCTTGCCCAGGAAGGTCAGCACATTTGGCACGTTCTAAGCGGCTCAAAACAAGGAGCTGTACTTTAGTCTCCTGTGCCATGGTCGCAACTTAGCTCTCACACTCAGCTTTCATAGTACATGCAGGTGGATCCTGAGAGGAAGCACAGTCTGAAATCTTCTGCCTGGGACTCAGAGTGAAGGAGAGCGTGGGGAGCAAGGCTGGAATCACCTAACACAGTGCCACTGGTTCAAAGCCCACCCTGCTGCACATCTTGGAGCAGTTTGATCCCATTTGTACTGCATCAGGGATTTGCCACATGTAGATGTGAAAGTTTTGATCCAGACTTTGGAGTTTCAGGGACTGGACTTATCAGTGCACCTGTTCAGAGAACTGTTATGAGCAGCAAAGTATTTATGTGGCAATCCAAGGGGTAATTCAAGTGGAGAGTTCAAAAATCAATGTTCATTCTGGCAGAAGGCTAAGGGTAGAGAATATGAAGGCTGCCTCTGATGTCCCATATAGCTCAGAGTCTAAGCAGATGATCTGGAAAAAAAGGATGAGCAATATACTAAACATTTTTAAAAGATGACTCAAAGCTATAGACTCTTTAGGAGATCAGAAAGAACTGTAAGTAAAATGCAAATGCGGCAAATGGGCAACAACATGTGTTTGCCAAGGTTTAACTTGTCAAATGCCAAGTAAGAAAAAAAAAAAGAAAGAAAAAATTCCACACAGATATTATGAAGCTCCAGATTGCCTGTAGCAGCTTAGGGAAGGGTATGAATATCACACAAATCCTGAATCTGTGAGTGGATGCAGGTTAGAAAAGAGCACACACAAAACATTAGCATGCAGAAGGAAGAAGAGGAGAATAATATGGAAAATATGATAATGCTATTATGTAAATCAGCAGCGTAGCCTCTTTGGGAATACTGTCTGCAGTTCAAGCAAGCCTTTCTCGGAAAGGGCTGATTAGGGGCATGGCGAAGTCGCTAACAAAGAGAGATCAAAATGATTGGAGCTGTTTATCTCGGAAAGGAAATTAACAAGAGGAGGTTGGCACAGACCAAGCCAGTCCAGAGCTCCTGGTTTTCTTCCCGTTCAGTTCTATCACTATCATATCTGGTGTCGCTAAGGATAGTGTGAAGTGATGTGGCTCTCCTCTGCCACACACAGCTTGTTCTCTTTCTCACCCTCTTACCCAGGGGAGGCACGGCATATGTAGATATATTTTATATTTTGGTAGGATTTGGGGAGAAGATGGCGAAGGAGAAACAATGTGTGCTCCCTATAATAGGTTTATAGTAGAGCAGGCAAAGGTGAAAAAGGGATGGAGATGGGTTTTGTTGCTGGGAGGCTCCTTCCATTCCCTCAGGCAGAGCACAGCTCTGCCAGCTGCCTCCCAATGCCCTCAGTGGCCATAGGGATTTCCAGACATGGAGGTAAAGACTCAGAATTTGATGAATTATTCTGCAAAAAGTACCAGGGCAGCTGAAGGTACCCTCAGAGAAAAAGTATTTCCAAAAGCACAGAGTCAGCCCTTCGTCTTGTGTACACAGGTCAGGTAGACCATTGCAGTGAAACATTCCATCTGTACTCAGCTCTGGTGAGGCTGCACCTTGAGTTGCTGTGTTCAGTTCTGGGCCCCTCACTACCAGAAAGACATGGAGACCCTGGAGTGTGTCCAGAGAAGGGCAGCAGAGCTGTGAGGTGTCTGGAGCACAAGTCTGGTGGGGAGTGGCTGAGGGAACTGGAGTTGTTCAGTCTGGAGAAGAGGAGCTCAGGGGAGACCTCATTGCTCTCTATAATGACCTGAAGGGAGGTTGTGGCATGGTGAGGATTTGCCTCTTCTCCCAGGTAACAGCCATAGGACAGCAGGGAATGGCCTCAAGTTGCATGAGGGGAGGTTCAGATTGGATATGAGGAAAATTTTCTTCTCCAAAAGTGTTGATGCACTGGAGCAGGCTGCCCAGGAAGGTGGTGTCCCTGGAGATGTCCAAGAAAACGGCAGATGTGGCACCAAGTGAATCACAGAATCACAGAATGGCCAGGGTTGGAAGGGACCTCAAGGATCATGAATCTCCAACCCCCTGCCACATGCAGGGCCACCAACCTCCCCATTTCATACTAGACCAGGCTGCCCAGGGCCCCATCCAACCTGGCCTTGAACACCTCCAGGGACAGGGCATCCACAGCCTCTCTGTGCAGCCTGTTCCAGCACCTCACCATTCTCTCTGTAAGGAACTTCCTCCTGACATCCAACCTAAATCTCCCCTCCCTCAACTTAAAACCATTTCCCCTTGTCCTGCTATTATCTACCCTTTCAAAGAGTTGATTCCCCTCCTGTCTGTAGGCTCCCTTTAGGTACTGAAAGGCTGCCATGAGGTCACCCCGCAGCCTTCTTTTCTCACTTCTTTGACATTGACACAGTCTAAAGTGATTAAGGCATGGGTTTATGGCTGGACTCCATGACTTTAGTGGTCTTTTCCAGCGTTAACAATTCGATGATTCTGTGATCTTTTTTCCCCACACTTGACGGCATTCAGGCACATTTGAGCCCACATGCCTGAGGGAACACCTGTGCATGCTGCAGCTACGCTGGGCTGCTTTGTGACACGACCCCACGTGAGGAGCCAGCACGGTGGTCTGAGGACTTTTTTCCCCACCGTCCCCTCAGCCCCTTCCTGCACGCCCTCTGCCCGCTGTGGCAGACGACTGAAGGACACAGCCCCTGCCAGCAGCCCGGCGGTGGGCCATTCCCAGTCTCAACCGGGAGGAGAACTGGATTGGTGTGCTCCTCCCTGCCGGCAGGGGGAGCACTGGCGGCGCCGCGTGTCCCCTCTCGCTCGCCATACGGCGGAGCCCCGCCGCCAGGGGGAAGCAGCGCTTCGCCGCCATCGCCTCCCTCTCCGGCCGGAAGTCCTCCGCGGGGAGACCGTTAGGAGCCTCGGCTCGGATTGGCTGGCCCTGGGGTCACGACCCGGAGGCGGATCCGCCATGTTGCTGGGTGACCCCGCGAGCGGCGTCTGGAGGATGCGGCTGCCGTGAGGCCCCAGGGTGCCTCTCCCGGCCTGTGCGGGAGGTCGGGCCGGCAGCGGTATAGAGCGGTACCGGGCTGCCCGGACCAGGCCTCGGAGCCCCGCCGATTCCGCTGCAGCCGGGCTCGGGGCCCCCAGCTGACGGCCGCGGCAGCTCCGGAACATCCCTCCGGGAAGGGAGAAGTGGCCGCAGCCTCCTGCTCCTCCCCTCGCCTTCGGTCGGTCGGCCGTTCCCCATGGCAGCGTGGTCCCGGCAGGCCGTCCTGACCCTTTACCGGGCTCTGCTGCGCGAGGGCCGCGGGCTGCGCTACACCGACCGGGATTTCTACCTGGCTTCCATCCGCCGTGAGTTTCGCAAGAACCGGGGGCTGCAGCGGCTGGAGGATAAGGAGAGGCAGCTGGAGAAGGGGCAGGCTTTCCTGCAGAGCAAGCTGGGGGGCCTGGTGTAGAGCTTTGCTGCCTTCCCCACCGCCCTTTTTTTTCTAAAATCCTCTCACCTACCGCGGGATGATGACTGCTTCCTGCCCACTGCTACATTGAAATTGGCCAGAAGGTGCCTCCACAGCCACACCAGGAGGGCTCTCCTGTTCTCTGAACAAATGCTTTAGGTCACAGGTAGGTTCCTTATGCTGATATAGCCCTGTTCTTCATGGTTACATGGCAGTTAGCTTTGTGCAAGCACATTATATTTTGCCTTGTGATGAAGATTGCCTGGTTTCCTGACCAGATGAGGTAGGCACATTCATTTTTAAGCAGTAACTTCACTTTAGAAAATACATAAGTTCACTCAGGCTCTGATCCGTCATGTGCCTTTGCCTTAGAAATGTAATCTTAAATCAAATTGGGAGAGTTTTCTGGTGTTTTCTTTCAGTTTCAATCCACCCATGTGCAGAGCAGTGGCAAAATGCATTTTGTGTGTGTGGTTGACCAGGGAATCTCTCTGAATTTAAACATAAAGGTCAGAGGTTAAATGGGATTTGGAAAAAAAAAGAAAAACAAAGTGCATACATAAGAGAACATTAACATTTGTGTTATACAGGGCTTGTATGAAAACCAAACCCAGCAGCCTTGAGGGCAGAAGTAAATATCAGGTGGAAGCGAGGAGTTGTTCCCTTTGTGGTGCACTGTGGTTTGCAGTGCCGACTCCTGGATGTCTTTGAAATACCTGGTACCAATTGTTGTCGGAAATAAGTCTGAGAGTGGATACTCTGAGGCTCTTGAGATTTTTATCAATGACAAGAGGTTGGCAGTCTGTGTAGCCGTATCTAATGAGCAAAGTTGCAGGCCTTAAGACGGAGGACGAGAAGATAAATTGGTGTAAAATGGCTGTGCTCCGGCTGAAAAGCACCAGCTAGAGTTACCTTGTTGTGACCCATTTGTTTGATGCTCCCTTCCAGGTGAGATGGCAGGCGCTGGGCCGCGCAAAGGCAAGAAAGACGACAATGGCATCGGCACAGCCATCGACTTCGTGCTGTCCAACGCCCGGCTGGTGCTGGGCGTGGGGGGAGCTGCGATGCTGGGCATTGCCACGCTGGCTGTCAAACGGGTGAGCTGGTGATGTGGGGAGAGAAGTGAAAGGACACGGGATGTTGGCATTAGATGGGGAAGAACGCAAAAACACTGGGCCCTTATCGACTGAAACTGTGCCTGGTGATGTTCCTTTAGATGTATGACCGTGCAATCAGTGCTCCCAGCAGCCCCACTCGCTTGAACCAGTCAGGAAAGAGAAGCTGGGAAGAGCCAAACTGGTTGGGATCCTCCTCACGCTTACTGAGCCAGGACATGAAGACTAATCTCAGCCGCTCCCTGCAGACCCTTCCCACTGACACTTCGGCCACGGCCACAGGTACAGAGCAGTGTGGCATTTCTGTGTTGCTGAATCATCTTGGCCTGTCTACCCTGTTAATCCTTTAAAGGAATATGGAAGAAGAGAATGCTCTCTCTATCCTAGTATTTTGATGCTGTTGTTTAAGTTGATCTATTGTTAGCTTCCAGGATTAGAAGTCAGATTGGGAATTAGTGAGTAATAGTCATCTCTTATTGGCATTTCTGATTTCTTTCATTTCATGGACTTGAATTTTATTCTCCTTCAGACTTTTCTTTGAAACTCTTTGTTGCTTTTCTTTGGGCCTTTCCAATTCATTTGCCTCTTCTTAAGAGAATACTTAGCGGTGAATCGTAGAATCACAGAATCCTTAGAGTTGGATGGGACTTCTGAACGCCATCTAGTCCAACTCTCCTGCAATTAACAGGGACATCCACAGCTAGTTCAGGTTGCCCAGGGACTGATCCAGCCTGGCCTTGAAAGCCTCCAGGGATGGGGCATCAATGTTGTCACTAGGTAACCTGTTCCAGTGCCTCACTAGACTTTTTCCTTATATCTAACCTAAATCTCCCCTCTTTGAGCTTGACTGTGCTAGTCATTTATTATCTTATTTTCCATGTTATTTCTATGATCTTTCTAATAATTTCTGTAACACTTTTGGCCTTTTTAGTGCTGCTTATCACTAAGCTAGTCTTCATCGAAAAAGGCACTTGGCAGTTGTCTTTCCAAGTGCAGTGATAAGCAATTCAATCCTTAAGTGTTTTTTAATGTGAATTTTTGTTAGTTTGTTGTTTCTCCCTGGTTTGATTTTAGGAGATTTTGGGAGTTTTACACTTAGATTTGAAACAAAAAAAAAAGTGGGGGATGTTATTAGGCTGACTTTGAAACAGCAAAATAACAATCAAGCTTTAACTTTCCAGGTTCTACAAGAAATTCAGCTTTGGGATGGCAATAGATTTTCTGCTGAGGAAGTATTAAATAACTAGACAGCTTTGTTAAAGGGGAATGAAGACCATTTGATTGGACCCACCAAAGATGAAGATTGGGGCCCAAAATACTTATTAAGACTATCTCACGTATTTGGCTTAAAAATAAATTAAAATGCAAGGTGAAAAAAATAAGTTGTTTCATGAATAGTCAATAAAATGACTTTGTGGTTTTGTGGGTTACTTCCTGGTCACACAGATCCCGAGATCTGTCCAAAAGACTCCAGTGAGACAAAAGACAGCAGCAGCTGAGGCTGAGCAAGCTGGATCTGTGTGTTGTTTGGTCAGCCATTCTGTATGGGATGTGAGGTGGCCGTGTGCCTGTTTCCAAACAAGTGTGTGACAGCTGCTTGCCTTAACAGTGCCACTGGTTTGGGAGATTCTCCTGCACTCTTAAGTTCCACAGCCCTTCCAAAGGCTTAGGATCCCCCAGATCTGTAATTCTTCCTTAATTCTTATTAATGACTTCTGAAAGTCCAGGTCTGTGCTAAGAGTACTCTGAGAGAGATAGAAGGATGCCCAGCTCTTTCCTTAAGGAAACCAGCCTGAAAAAGAGGGCGTTAGAGAAAAAGTGCAGATTAGACATTGCTTTATACTTTAAGCAGCGATGTAAAATGTTACGATGCTGTTATACACATAAGAGCCTGCTCTTAGCTCTTCATTCGGTTAAAATTTGAGGAGGTTTCCAATTAAGGCCGTGATTGCCTGAGCTCTGCTGGCTCCAAAATCCATCATTTTACCGTTTACCTTACAATTCTCACATACGATGATCAGAAACCTGATGACTGCTTTTTTCCTAATGGTGTGATCTCAGATCTCTTACCCCGGTTACAACTGGCTTTAGCAAATGTGTTGTGAAAATCCATTATAATGTTAAAAATGTAGTGATGGTTGTTCAGGGGTGTTTTGGTGATCTATTGGTCTGGCATCATGTTCAAAGCAGCTGAACAGCTAACAGTGCTGAATTTTTGATGAAACATAGCTAAGAAACTGTCCACGTAGCCATTAACGTTCTTGAAGATTCTCAGTACTCTTCTTTTGACTGATACCAGTGTAAAGCTTGCAAAATGTCTGCTGTAAGCTTTTTTGAGATCTAGGTGAGGTGCTTCTGCAGATCGCTACACAGTGAAACGCTGCAGACAATCAACAGTTTTCCTTCTGTCTCACAGACTTCTTCCGACCCACAAAACCCAAGCAATCTGCCAAGAGGAGCCAAGTGGAGCTGAAAAAATCCCGCCTTCGTCTGTCTCTGCAAGAAAAGCTGTTTGCTTATTACAGGAGGAAGGTAGCTATCCCCACAGAGGAGCAGGCCCTGGCCAAGCAAGCAGCCGTGGACATCTGTGCTGAGCTGCGCAGCTTCCTCCGTGCCAAGCTGCCGGACATGCCCCTGCGTGACATGTATCTCAGTGGCAGCCTGTATGATGATCTGCAGGTAATTCCTGGGGCCACGTGATGGGTCATTATTCAGCAGGCTGACGAGACAGGAGCGTTTCAGGCGTCCCTCTTGGCAGTGCTGTCTCAGCACAACATTCTTCTGTAATAAGGCTCTTGGTGTCACGTTTCCCACCGTGAAGCCAGGCATTGATTACTGCAGTACTGTTTGGACAAGCTTGAGCAAGCTGCTCTGAATTTGTCTGCAAAGCATTTGATTTTTGCTCTTTCATTTCTCTGGACTGTCCTGGCTGTTCTTTCCTTTTCCTTTTAGCTGTGTTTTTTCTTTTTGCTTTTTCAGTACAGCTCTGTTTTCTCTCCATTCCTTCTGTCTTCTTTCAGATAGAAGATAGTTCTCTTAGAACTGCTTTGCATTCATGTAGGTCTTCCTTACTCTTTTTTTTTTCCTTTTAATTAAATGCATGACAGACCTTGACTGAACAGCAGTTCCTGCTGCATATCTGCCCAGTGGAAAAATGCCCATGGCTAAAGTGAGTGATTCAGAGGCACGCTTTTTTTTTTGTTTGAGTCAGAGCTCTGAAATGGAGTGCTGAGTGTCAAGTGAAACTTAGATCTGGGCTCTTAATCACACTGGTGAAAAGAGATCTTTAGTGACCTTTTTCTCATCAATGTGGCAGACAAGGTGAGGGTAGCACCTAGCTCTTGCTTGGAATAATTAAAACATGGCAACTTAAACTTGTCTAGAAATGCCTCCTGTTTCAAATTATTGTGTGGCATTGCTATGCCTTGCGCCAGCTGCATCTCACACCTTAGAGCAATAGGAGATAAAATGATTCTTTTTCTGTATGTAATCCACATCAGGTCCTGAAGTATTTGAAGATATCTGAATAGTGAGTACCACATAAGTTTTATCTTGTATTATACCTTGGAGTTGCTTATTGATGATAGAAAATAGCTATCAAAGTGTCTTTTGACAACAAGAGGCTGTGAATCCCACACAGGGAGGAAACTGAGACAGCTGAACCGTTATTCCAAGTTTCTTTGAACAGGGGGCATTCCAAAAGGCGGTGAATAAAATGGTGTGGAGAGAAAGCTTGTCCTTACTGACTTTTCTCTCTTGCGAAAGGTAGTGACAGCTGACCATATCCAGCTTATTGTGCCTCTGATGCTGGAGCAGAACTTGTGGTCGTGCATCCCTGGAGAGGAAACTATCATGAACATTCCTGGCTTCTACTTGGTGCGTCGAGAAA